AGCACACTTTAACACACTTTGATACTTAATAATCTTTTGCACGCCAGTGAACTATATTAAATTTTCCAGTCTGTTTCAGACATCTTGATATTATTGATGTAATTTATAAAAAATATAATTGGTATGCTTTACAAGTATTTGATTCATGATATTATTGTAATACTCTTTCCTCTAATATTGTAATTAATGAAAGATGTTTGTAATGCTAATATGTTATGTTTAGCAATACCTTTTATTTTCTTTGTTAGCTCTCGCATTTATTACTGCTATTCAAGTAATTATTCTGCTTGTTAGATATTCTTTACGTGTTATTGTGATATGTTATTCTATTTCTTTATTTTTATTTTTCTCTTGGCTACAACAGGCTTCGAAAAGTCAAATTTTAACCCTGTAGGCAACGGGGGGAAGGAAATTTTGATTCGCGCAGTTGGACTATATCAGGACGATGGGGGGGGGTTCATCCGCGCAGCTGGAGTACACCCATGAGATCTTGTAGAGATTTTGATTCTTATGGTATTATTAATGACGCATTTGTGTATGGATTTTCACGTGCGAATAACCTTTTCCAAAAGTGTTTTTTATTAGCCCAGAACGGTTGTTAATTTTGTTTTGGCATTTTACGTTGATTCATTTTCTGCGTTGATTCACTTTTCAAACTATTGCCATCAAATATTATCGCCATGTATTATATTTAAAGAAACTAAATAATGAAGAATTTGCCTGAATGCATGAATGTTTCTGGCATTGTAAAAAAAACAACTGTACCTAGAGCCATCCAGTTTTGAATAACGTAGTCCTCCAGTCGAATATGGATACATGGAAACCCGAATTAGGAATTTTGGATTTTTTTAATTGTCTATTTCATATTTCGTAAAACTTTAACGAATTTTTGATTAAAAATGGCGAGCAATGGCAACACTGTACGAAAAAAAAAAACATTCTTATATCCAGCGCGCGAGATTGTGTATCAGAAATTCTATAGATATGCAGTTTGACTGTTTTTAAATATTTTGCGATATTGCTGTTGAATTGAATTTTATGTGGTTTAAGTGCGAAGAACATGATATTTAATAAATAAAGGTAACACGCAAGACGTATTGGACGTAATATAAAATCTGAAAGCTTTCTATTTTTCTTTCTTTTTTTTTTTTTTTTTTGTTTTTGTTTTGTTTTTCTTTTTTTCTTTTATTTATTTTTCCCCCGTCGTTTGTGAGATTTCAGATATTTGAAATCGGACTTAAGATGTGAGAAGTGTGAAGCCTAAATGAAACTTGAGAAGAAAAATAATGTTTCAGATGGGATATGTGCGGATCTGTAGAAAAATTTTGAAAGGGCAATTTACCTTGGCTACTATTTTAAATTGGGATTTTTCTTTGTTTTCCTTTGGTATGTTGATAATGTTTCCGACTTGAGATAAATATACAGTTTGACGATCTTTAAAGACTCACGAAAATTGCTAACTTGCATTCGATAGGTAACTTTTGCATTATTTTAGTACATATTGTTTGTTATTGTAATCACACTTATTATAGTTTATATCACATTATTATTATATTTCCTATTTAAAAGATTGCGTATTGTTCCAGATTTATGGTTTTTATTAAAGAAAAATTAGATATTTGCCAATTATTGATGTATGGAATATTAATATGCGCAAAGGAAGTATAACATACTTTAGGAATCTGGGAAATAGTAAAGTCAAAGCTATGTATTATGTTCATTTGACTTAAAAAATTCTTTTCTTCTTTTTATTTATAGAGTCATTTCGTAAAATTTTTATAAGGTAATGAATATTATTTACTTATTAAATATAAGTGATTAGGAAGCTGTGTAGCAATAAAATCATTTGTGAAAATGATAGAATTGAAGAGCTGTGCGACGTAAATTTAAATTTAGAAAAAAGTGTTCTTATTTGTATTAATGCTGAAGCTAAAAAATTTGAAAACATTAAAGCTATCTAAAACATAAATATGCGAGAGAAGAATGTTGTTTACCGTTTTTATAAATGGTGCAAGTAAATTATTCTATAATGGTAATTTTAAATAAAGAATTTATTATACTTACTTTAAGTAAAACCAAAGCTTAATTGTTAATTCAAAATAAAGATGTCAGTGTTATTTTGCAATAATAAACAAATTATTATTGTCCTTTTCAGTAGAAAATACTAAATTACGCGTAATATAAAATTTAAGAATACTTTGTTACTTCAAAGTCTTAGTTCCACCCTTTTATGACGTCACTAATCTCTGCGTTCTCAGTTTTGTTTACATTTCATACTTTAAGCCTAGCAGCGCCTACGAAAACACGGTTTTCTCCTCAAAAATTTTTGGCGATAACTTTTAGCCAACCCGATGCATCTGGCACATCTGTTTTAAGAGATATGTTACTTCGCAATCGAATATGCGTAAATGGCTGCGAAATGAAAGTATGTGTAAACGAAAGTATGTGGAGGCGTAAGGTGAAAAGTTGTAAAAAAAAAAGCATTCGATCCGACAAACTGGTTCAGTGGTTCCAGAATACCATTTAACTATGTCGAGTTTCATCTGCTGTTGGGCAGAGGAACTAACGTCGCTCAGGCGCTGCGATAAACATCTCAACATGTGTCAAAATACCACGAATTGATTGGAACAGTTTTAACCAGTTAACTGTGGCGCCCTCGTTTAAGAGTGCGCACCGTTTTGTGTCGCCAGAATCGAGCCATGACAAGTATATTCGTCAATCATAGAGTAAGTTGCGCTGGTAAGATATTTGATGAAAAAGATGGGTTTATTTTATAAAACTGAAAATTTTATTACTAATATTTACTTATTTGGTTAACATAAGCATATATTACATTCATATTAAACTAAAAACGCAATAAATTAAATTAAATATTATAAATATAAAAGTAAGAATTTAAAATTCCTGCTGTGGAGTGATATTCAGCGAAACAGGGTACTATACACAATGGGACTTTGCAAATCGAACATCAGTAACGCAATTCCTTCCTGATCCTACGTTTGTAGGAATGCAAACATCTTCGCGTAGGGTTGTTTTTCTTTCGATGTTCTGGGTATATAATCCGGAACATAATTCCCGCCTAATTGGCTTATATTAGGTCTAAATGGCCGAGTTTGTATTGATTTCTTTATATTGGATACGTCGCAAAAGTGTCTTTGAGCAAAAATAAATTTGAGCAAAAAGTTGATACACGATAATGTTCCATTTTTTTTATATAATACGAATGCATTCAGATACATAATGTCTAAGAAATAATATACATAATGGATAAACATTATGGAGAAATATCTTTTTGTAGTACTTTTCAAGTCGTTTTCTTGCTGTGGAGTACGCTATGATAATTCCATCGCTCATATGCACTCCACCCATTTTTTTTATTATAATCAATCACTAGCTCCGGTTTTTTTGTTATTATTTTTCTTTTCTCTGTTTCTATTACGTTGTCATTATGTACAGTACTTATTAAATAAACCTCACCTTATCTTTCCATTTCAATACACGCATGACGAGTATACTCGTCAATACACAAAATCGTGCCGCTTCTCCATGACGAGTATACTCGTCAATCACAGTTAACTGGTTAAGAAGGAGGTTTGTTCGCTAGATTTACTTCGACAGCTTAAAGGATGAATAGGTGGCTCTGGAAAAGTAGTCTACATTGACGAAATGTTATTCGATTGGCGAAAAAACAACGCTGGTGGGGTACTTACACAGCAGGTGTATTCGGCGGGTTATGCCGTGAAAGTAGCGACAACTTTTTTATTCAGGTTCCAAATCGGGAAGCAAACACGCTGATATCAACGATTGTAGATCACGTAGAGGAACGATCGACAATATATTCAGATTGTTGGCGAGCCACATAACAGAAGAGCTTAAAAGCCTGGTTACAGCCATTTAACTATAAATCACAAATTTGATTTTTTTTTTTTTTTTTGATCCAGCAACGGGGGCCCACAAAATGCAAAGGGGTACGGCAGGACATAATCTAGAGACGTACTTTTTGGAATTCATGTGATGGGAATCCTCTAAGAGAGATAAGACTTTTGATGCCATATTAAAAGCAATCGCGGCGATATAGTAGTCACAAACTATAAGCGAGTAATTTAAATTTTGTGCCGTTTTGAAAATGGGGGTCGTGAAAATCATGAGTACCGTACGTAGTACTCTATTTTTCAGTCCCATACCGAATTAGTCAAATTAATCCCGAAGTCAAATTACATTCAGAATATACTTTACAACTTTCATTTTCATTCCTGATCAACGTCTGGGAGCTGTGGGATGACTGAAAAGTAAAATTACTCAACAGATATATTTTATTTAAATAATATTTTTATGTTAGGAGAATATTTCAGTCAAAAAATGAAACCAAAACTGGTAATTTATTACTGCTATGAAATTCAATCGAAATGTTTGGGCTAAAACTGTAAAGATCTTGTAAAGCTTAATTTGATTACACATTTGTTTCATTATACATTTTAATTAGCTATAAAACTCAATTTTAGAATAATTTTTGTTATTTTGGACTGCTTTAAAAGTAGGAATTCGGAAGCAGGACTGATTTGATGTAATTTGTTTCATGTCAAATTTCGCCAATATAAGGCTGCTTTTTCAGCATATCCAATTTCTCCTTAAACTAATAGTACAATGAAGCTGTTTCCTTCTTTTTTTTTTAAATATTTTTTTACAAGCCCATCTGAGAATGTCATATTTGGAATAAAAATTGCATACGTAGGAATAATCGCATTCTCCGTTCCGTGTTCTTGTGGTGTAAATGGCTAGCTCGTCCAACTAGCAAATGGAAGATCCATGGTTCGAATCCCGGCAACGACGTGGTTGATTTTTCGCATTTCTCGTTAAAAATATCTTTGCCAGTCTCTAGACTATGTTTTAGCTATGCTCGTATTTGATTGAGGAGGATACTTCATATTCACCTTAAATTAACAAATTGCAATACTTACTTCTGTTATTTAGAATTTCTAAAAAGATGAGATCTGACTTACTTGTAAAGCATCTTGATACCACTGTGCTGTAAGGTAGAGCTGAAGACCACATGTCAAACTAAGTCCACTAAACACAGCTGATGAAAAATAATTTGTGCCATGTAAGTTGAATGCTACAAAAAACCAAACCGTTTTTAATAAAGAGAAATTCAATTTGTGTGCTTTTTCAGCATAAAGAAACAGTAAAGATATTTGAGTTTAATTACGTTTCTTGTAGAAAATCCAGATTTTGAAATTTTCTACTTTAAGCGAGTATCCTTTTCTCGAGAATTACGTTATTTCAGAAAATTATTAATAAAAGGTAAATTTTCAATTTACTACTATAATTGCTTTGTTTTTCCAGTTTTTCCACATTTCCTGCTGGCAAGTTTCTTTTAACACTTCAGTACTTTTTGGGTGCATAATGATGTTTCAAAATAAAATACAGCGGTTCAGAATATCATTAGATCAGCTGAAGTGCTTATTTCGTATAGTTATTTATCATGAAAGCCACACAGTATAAATTTGCTCATGACACACAGTATGCTCATCATACACTATTTTTGAAAAGCACGAATTTGGCCGAATTTTAAGGAAGATAATTTCAAAAACGTGTTGCCAACGAACAGAGGTTATTTATGTGAAGCATGAAAGTAAACATTGGGTAATTAACATACATGGAATAATAATGCATAAGTACAGATATCTGGTTTTTCCTGTTTTATTATTTATTTATTAGCTCAAAGGACGTTAACCCAGAAGGGCTATTAATTTTGTTTTCGCATTTTGCTTTGAAAACTTTAAATGTCGGTTCACTTTTCAAATTGTTGCCTCCAAATATTATCGCCTGTGTTATATTTAAAGAAATTAAATAATGAAGAATCTTCACAAATGTATGTATGTTTCTCGCACTGTGATAAAACAACGGTACCTAGAGCCATCAAATTTTTAATAACATACGTCTGTACCCGAATATAAGCATATATTCCTAAATTTGGAATTTGTTTTATTATCTATTTCATATTTTGTAAAGCATTTATGAATTTTTGATTAAGAAACTCAATGATTTCAAAGCGAGTAATGGCAACAGTGTACGTAAAAAAAACCCATTTTTATCTCCATCGTGCGAGACTAGTGTATCGGAAATTCTAATAATTCTAATGATATGCTCATTTTAAAATTATTTTGCGATATTTCTGTTGAATTGAATTTTATTGTTTAAGAACATTTAATAAAGAACAAAGAACATTTAATAAATAAAGGTAACGCACAAAAGGTTAAAAAAAGTCCATTTGGGCGTAATGTAAAATCTGAAAGCTTTCAGATTTTTTCTTTTTACATTTATTTTTTCTTTTTGTGCATTTAATTTTATTTTCATTTCATTTTTTACAACTAATAATAGTGGAATATAAAATGGAATAGTGAGAAATAGTTGAAAAAATTTACAATATTTTATACGCATTAGAATTGAACTAGCACGGATTTATTTCAGGCTATTAATTAAACATGCTAAACAAAAGAATCCTTTATTTAAAAATAAATTCTTAACAATTGTTCTAATCTTCAAGAAGTTATTTCAGACATTCAGGTATGTTCTACAGTCATTGATCAAGATGATCTTTTAGAAACACACGTTTTGTAATTAATTATCACTATTAATTTGATTTATAAATATTATTTTTAAGAATAAAAAAATTTTGAAATAAGTTTTTCGATGATCTTAAGGTTTCTGAATTCTAAAATGCGATAATAATATAAAAGATGTAAAATTATAGAAAAATTAGAATGTTTTTTTTTGATTTCCTCTTTCCTTTCCCCCTCAAGTATGCCCAGTCCAGGTATAGAAACATAGGATATGGTGGTGTGGTTTTTTTTTTTTTTTTTTTTTTTTTGCTACAATAGTTTTCTTTAAGTTGGATTTATTTTAAATTGGTTTATTTTAGTTAATTTTTTAAGTTGGTTTCATTACTTATTTATTATTTTTTTTTCTGAGTAAATTCAATTTTTAATTCCCTTTCACGCAAATCAATTTGTGATGTTTTGTACAATGTGTCTGCAGTGACAACACAATACTTCATCCAAATTGAATCGATCCTCGCAGCTTCTTTATATAATGACAGATAGGCGCAGTAATTAGGGCTGTTGCGGGAAGATCTTAGTGAGCAGAAATCAAATTGAATGCGTGCAACGAGTTTCCCCTCACTTTCAAGGTTTTTATATTTTCTGAAAACCTCAAAGATAAGTGGATAACTATAGAAAAGGCGTAGAGTTGAGACTTTTGTTGATGATGCTCGCTCAGCGTGAAGTTATATCGCACTAAAGATTGAGTGACATGGAGGTACTTAGTCTTAATTGTAATTCATAGAAACAGTAACAAAAAAATGCGAAGGGATTCAGATTTTAATGATCGCGCAAAAAGGTTTTTTTCAGAATTTTTTACACTTTCGCTGAACACGCAGTCTGCCAGTCTGGCTCTTGCACTCTTGCTAACCCCTCTTTTTAGCTCTATCATTAAGCATCATTTTCTTCGCGCTTACACAATATACAATTCAACAGCAAAATCACAGAAATTTCAAAAGCAGCGTAGCAGCATATATTTATAGTTCTCAAAGCAGTGTTAAAGTGTCTGCATACATTTTTTGTTTAGTCTTTTTCCAGTTTATTTTATCATGTTCAGGTTTATTAGCGAGATGATTCAAAAAACCTTTTTTTATATCTTTTTATTATTGATGTTAGGGGTATCTTTAGTAATAAAATATCACGTTCTTTGCTCTTTCGCCACATAAAATTTAATTCAATAGCAAAATCACAAAATGTTTAAAAACAGCATATCTTTAGAATTTCCGATAAATAGTTTCGCGCTGGAGATAAAATTCTTTTATTCTAAACGGTCTTGCTACTTCTTGCTTTCAAATCGTTGAGTTTTTGTGCTGAAAAATTCATTACAAAGTTTTGCAAAATATGAACTAAGTAATAAAAAATATATAACGTCATTCAATGAAAATATTGAATATTTTTAATTAGATCATGAATTAAATGCACTTTTATAATTTAATCAAACCGATTCAAAATTAAAAAATGTTCTTAAAGAATATTTTTAAGAACTGCATATATTGCTTTTAGATAGCTTAGTCTGGTAATCCACAATAGGCAGATTCAGTTTGAAAGATAAATATCTTACATTTAGCCGAATGGCAACAGAATCGAATGAAAAGTGAAACAACGCAAAATCATCTTTCGTGACTAATAGACCTTTTGGGCTAATAATAGTTTACATATATATTACAGTACCAGAAATTTTCTATTTTAAATGAATTATCCCAATACCATTTCTATGCAAATGCTTTTGAAAATTAATCAATTATAGATAAAAAGAAAGAAATTTAGAACCGAATCCACAAAGACATGAAATTAAAAACAAATAAAATCCAAACTTCCCCATAAATGCGCAAAATTCAACCAATATTCATCAAACCAGAAGAAATACAGAGAAAGAAAATTAAAAAATAACAAAAATTAAAGGCAGAGAAATACAATTAAAATCTGATTCAACATTATTTAGAGGAGGTTAGAACAGACTGTATTGAACCCCCTCTCCCCTCGGAAAATCACTGCGTTTCTGCTAATCCAGAATTGGCTGATGATTCTTTCTAAATTAATTAATTTTAACAGTTCACCCAAAAATTCTGAGTTCCTCCCCTACATGCAAAACAAATCTTTATGTATTAATTAAATGTCCAATAAAAGAAAAGCATAATAATTAGACATTTTTTACTGGAATAAACGCAAATAAAATGTAATTATAAAATATATATAAAAACTAACAGAGAACTAGAAACATTACAACCTACCATTATGCTAACAAAGAAGCAAAAGATCGAAATTCAAAAGAAGACGCCAGTGTTGCCAGTTTGTGATCGATGGCGAAACTAATTGCCGATAGAAAGTAGAAATCACTCAAGTGGTGAATTAAAAGCAAGTAATTTTTTAATTTTTACTTCCTTGTACGAAGTAAAAAGGAAGTATTGTAATCGCGAAAAGTTTCAGGCAGCATATTTCAACGAAAATATCCATTTTGACTGCTATCGAATGCAATTTAACAATGTTTTTGCGTGATGTCTGTACGTAAGGACAGAATAAAAGACTCTTTTCCTCCAAAAAATTATAAAACTGCTTAAAAATAAATTCTGAATAGAATTTTTCGTGGCGTCTGTACGAACGTAGATACATACGTATCTCGCATAACTCAAAAACGAGTAGCTTCAGAACGTTTAAATTTTGTATATAGAACTACTATAACATGTAGATGTGCACCTCGTATTTTGGTTGCAATCGGCCACGCCAAACGTATATATATATATATATATATATATATCCACTCTGTTACCCGGCTCAGTGATCTCAGTTTCTTTATTCTTATATATTTGTAAATTGTACATTTTTTGCTTTAAAAATGATTGAATTATGTTGTTCTTATCTTCCGGTTAAGGTTTTTATGCCCGGTTAAGGTTTTTTTAGAATTATCAACAATTTTAAAGTTGTTTAAGTGCCTCTAAGCCTAACAATTTTTTTGATGGCGGCCATTGCTTGTTTACATTTGAAACAGCAGAGTAGTGGATTTGTTGCCAATCTAGAGAAACTTAGCTTCGCAACAACAAAGATAACGCATTCATTTATTATTGCCAATTAAATCATGCTTAATTCTTTCTGGAATTTTTTCGAGGAAATAAGTGTTTGAGATTTACTTCGTAATTTTTAATATAGATATTTTGAGTTTTTATGTATTTTTGCCTTCTCGCGAAGTGAGAACTGAATTAATTAAATGAGAAATACTCAATCGTCTGTGAAAAACTGTTTCTTTTTTTTGTTTTGTTTGCTTAATTTCTTTTTATACATCATTCTAGCTTTATTATAGTATTTGAATAGCATATGGCAACGATTAGATAATTCTATTCTTTAAATGATATAAATTTTGTGCATTACGAGTTATAATATGAACGAAATATATACGTTAACTATTATATAATTATTGGATTATATAACAGTTAACTTAGTTCCCGTTATATAATTATTATATAATTAATAATAGTGTTAAGTGAATCTAGCGCCAGAGTGTCGCTATGGTAAACAAATA